TAAAACATTTTCCTTTTTTACCACCACCCTTCTTTCCCATACTGCACTTTTCATCAACATCACAAGTAAATTAATTAGCTTTTTATTTTTACATTTCTCATTAATGCCTAACATTAACACCTTTTCCCACTCAAAGTTCCCATTTCCCTCTCCTCTCAAAATTAAAATCATGCTTTTACATCTCTCATTAAAATCTTTCAGCTCATTACAATATAAAAACAAGTGTAAAAACCCTTCGTCTGCATCCTGGCATACTTTACATGTGGCACTTTCCTCCTTCCCAATTTTGTTTAAAATCACATCTGTGAACATGTCGTGTCTTCTTCCGCTGCTCTGAGAAATCACACTCAGTCTTGGGTTTTTGATGCCAGAAGAAACACACTTTATTTCAACAATAAGAATAAAGCGGAGATGCTCTCTGCAGCGAAACATCTCCAGAATTTCTTTGTGTCTTCCTTTTTATACATTTGGATTTGGAGGTGTGGGGTATATATTCCATACAGTTTTCCATACATAGAATGGTTCCTTTGTGCATACAATTCTCCCTAGAGAGAAAGCCCCCCCTCTCTAGTCTTGTTATGGTAAAGAAAGCCCCCACTTATGTTTTTTCCAGATGTTTCTCATCTGAGGTCTGTACTTTCTGCCACGTAGGCCTGTTTTTATACACAGGCATATGGGATTATAATGGAAGTATAACTGGATATATTAATGGCTAGATTCGCCTTGATTATACTTGATTAATTCCTATTTGGATTAATAAAAATCTTCTACATTTCCCCCCTTTGAGACTTAGTAAGTCTCACATTTGTTTATTTTTACTCAGAGTGCTACTTCATAATTCAGTTGTATTAGTTAACACTACCTAGTGACTAAATAAGTCACTCTGTTTTATTACCAATGACTAAATGATGCAGTATCACTCTGGTTTTGGAGCATCAGGACCAAACGTCTCCCCCCTTACTCGACTAGGAAGGGAGTAAAAGATCCAGTCTCCATAATTTCTTACTTCTATAGAAAACAATGTTATAAGCATGAGCGTGCAATTTGTTCAGCGCTTGCCTGTGGTTGTCACAGTTATGTATAAAGACATAAAAACACATTCAAAACATCACACATAGTATATCACAGGATTAACATAGTTGATCTTCAGCCCAGATACTTTGCGCATCCTCGAGAGCCTCCCTTGGGCTGAAGATAGGCTAGCACTTATACCCAGGGTATTGTTCATTTTTACGCTTCTTCTTCGTCCTCATCAGAGTCACTTGAACTATCATCCAAAGTTTGCTCATTTAAGTTTAGTTTGTTTAGCCATCCGTCATAATATTCATCCAGGTTCCTTTCTGTAATCATTTGTTGATTCTTTGGGACTTTTATCATTTCCATTTGTTTAACCCTCTGGGGTCCGAGGGTGTTTTGGGGCCTGGAAAAGTTTTGACATGCCCTGACATTTGTGCTTTTTTCAGTTGCTTACAAACATTTGAATGTCTAAAGTTTAATAACACTGTAATCAGCACAAACTGGGCTACAATAATATGTGAGCAGCATGTATGTACGTGATTGTGTTTTTGAGAAAACAACGTTTATGCGTGCTTAGTGAAAAACTACAATTTTAAAGTCACTGAAATAAGGCCATAAAACACATACAGAACATTTGATCACAAGACTTTTGAGAACTGATCTTGAAGTCTAGAGTTTTTGCTTCAAAATTATGTGAAAATCATCTTACTCACTCATTCACAGAAAACAATATATTGATTTAAATTTTCTAAGACACTTTTTGTGTAGAAAAGGTATATGCGAGTAGGCGTGAATGATCATGAATAATGCTGTGATTCACACCTGAGAAGACAAAGGCCTGCATAATGAGCTGCATAATGAGCTGTCAGGTGTGTGACTGAGAGGGAATTGCTACAAGAAAGAATGTGAGGAAAAAGAAATGTATCTATTTTTTGTTTGTAGTTTATTTAGAATACATATAACTATCACATAAAATAACTCATGGGAGTGTGTGCATCACATGGTCTTAGCTGTGGTCCAGGTTCTTGTGCAGGCAGGAATCTCCATTTCCATGACCAAGTGGGCTGCTTTGCTTTGGCTCTCTTTGCAACAGGTTCTTTTACACTGTTATTCTCACATCTGAAATAAAAAAGCAAGCATGCTGTTTACACAAACTACATTATTAACATTATTATGATGTTCACTGATACTAGTACTAATTTATCGAAACAAAGAACACAATTACCACATAGCAAACATATTTTACCATGCAGTAAATAAATCAAATGAAAGTAACATCTGTAAAATAGTGAATGCACACTTACTCTAAGATTCTGAATGGAGTTGAAAACTGAACGAGCGTCCCCTTACTGTGAGAGATGCAGGTGAAGGCAAGAGTGGTGTATTCGGTCCTAAAATAATTTTATAAACAATTGTAAGCATTTTTTTCCTCACAGTACCTTAGTATAGTATGCATACTTCGTGAGAAAACAGAATGCCAATAACAAAGAAACTACATTTTAACACTATGAACCACAAATAATATTACCATATAGTCTAGGCATAATAAAAGTACAATTACTATACTGTGCACTTACTCAGTATGATTTTCCAGCGAACTCAAAACTGAACGACACGTGTGCCTTTCTTGTGCAATTATGCGAGTGATGCAGCCACAGTCCTAAACGAAAACTGAAACAGTTGTTAGCAATTACCAGAAGATGCATAGCTGATAAATAAATTGCATCACTGATAAGAAAGGACGCGCGTATATGTCTGTCGATGCATCACTTATTTACAGCTTACTTGATACGTTTACACATCAGACGATCGCGAATACCAATGACCGAGAATAAAACATTCAACATATTAAAAATGGTTTTCACATTACTTTTATATCGTTGCTGTCTATTTTATAGAACATTTAAAAAACTTCCTGGCGTTGTGAGACATATATGCAGTGAATGAATCTTCATAATGTTTCACTTGATTGTACATTTAGTCAGGAATCATGGTTTGGAAAAAGTAACTAGTAAAATATGTACAAGTTATGTCACAGTAACACAATAGCAACTAATGCAAGTAGGCAAATAAAAAAAGACTTACTATATCCTCCACTGAATATCACTCCGGTGCGTTCTTCTGAGGAAAATCCTAAGCTTATTTCTCTCAGCGCGTCTTCTTCCAGAAGCGAAGTAGCCGAGATGAACGTGAAGAAAAGTCTCGCTGCTTTGTTTGCTGTGATGTGGGCGTTTACATGCGCGCGTCTCACGTGGATGATTGTAATAACAAAAGCGCGATCTGCGCGTGGGTGTGGTCACATTAGCGATAATGAGGGCGACGGCCAAGACTTGACATCGCGTTGGTTTCATACTGATTACTTTGTCACATAATATTTGTTTTCGTCATGACTTAATTCGTTTAAAGTAGACATGTTAAGCTTTCTATAGATATATCTCTCATGTGTGTGTGTCAAATATTCGCTGAGTTTCAGTTCATTTTAGTGACGTGTTTCAAACAGATATGCGCGGAGGGTGAGACGGCTAAAAGCACACCCTGTTTATTTTCTTTATTTTGCAAAAGCACAATGTTTTGTTTATATTGTGAGTGTACACAAATAAAAGTAGACCCTTTACAGATTTAAATGCTGTATTACTCTTATATGTACGGTCAAGTATGAAGGAGCATTTTAGTTCTTTTCGCTGTCCTCATTCAAATCTGCAAAAAGTTCCGCCACCGGAACTGTCGACCCCAGGAGGTTAAGCTAGGGGCCCCATCCCACGAACCCACTATTTGTCCATTTCACCACTATTGTGCCGTAACGACTCCTTGACCCCCGCTGACCACTTGCCCCCACCTCCCAGGTCCCACGAACCCACTATTTGTCCATTTCGCTGCTATTGTTCCGGAACGACTCCTTGACCCCCACTGACCACTTGCCCCCGCCCCCCACATCCCACAAACCCATTATTTGTCAGTTTACCCACTATATTCACAGAAAGCATCCCCAAGTTGTAGTCAGGCAGGGGGCAGGCACCCTCGACCTGCGGATGCTCACTGATGCCCTCCCTGGCTGTTTAAATGACGTCCAAAGCAAAGCCGCTCCGATCGACCAGTGCTCTAGGCGGTGCACTTCGGGGGGCCCTAGCAACTCCCCTGTCAAATTTGGGACCACTAGCACCTTTCTAAAAAAATCCCACTCTCCAT